CAGCAGCAGCCTGGCGCGCTGCAGCTGCTGCTGCGCTGCAGCAGCTGCTGCTGCTGGCGGTGGCTTAGGTGGTGCTCTGAGCGTACAGGGCCAGGACCTTCAAGCAGGTGATGAATCTGTCTCTCTGTTCTACTCCGCCTTCTTCCAAAAGAAAAAGACGATTTAGTTGTGGGGCCCCAGAGTCGCAGTACTCCAGCATCACGAGGCAGTTCTTCGCTGCGGTGTCTAGACACCTCACGGCCGGGTTCTGCGCAAGGGCTGCTGTCGACTCGTTCGCTTGCAGAGCCGGAAGGCTGTATGCTTCGTGCAGCTGCGCGCAAACCCTAAACCCTAAACCCTAAACCCTAAGCCCTGAACCCTAAACCCTGAACCCGAAACCCTAGGTCTTCGAGGCGCAGCTCACGCAGTGGGGCTCAAACCCGAGAACCCCAAGTGAAGCTCTGCGCTTTTCGCAGAAAGGCGCTTGGGCTGCGCGCTGAACCCTAAACCCTAAAATGGGGTTTTGCTGTCTAAACCCTTATTACACCCTCAGCTCCAACGGCTTCGTGGACTATCGCGGAACTCCAGAAATTAACCCCCACCCCTTAAACCCTAAACCCTAATCCCCCGCCTCTAAACCCCAATCCCTGCCCCTTCTCCCAAAACCCCAAACCCTAAACCCTCACCTCGCCGGGCTCAAACCCCAAACCATCTCCCCAGCCGGCCCAAACCCCAAACTCTCTGCCAAACCCTAAACCCTCGCCCCGGCGATGCCAAACCCTAAACCCTCGGTAAACCCTAAACCCGCGTGGCTGCGCACAGCTTTGAGGGGAAATGAGTGCTGCACTCCGTCAGCAAAAAGCAACTTGAAGCTGGTGAGGCTTCTGTCAAGAAAGTAGCGACCGGGAATTTGGCGTTTTGTGGCTAAGTCCAAAAAGGCGCAGGGGCAGCCAGCCACTGCAGCCCTGGCGAAGCTTTTCACCTGCAGCCAGCGAGCAGCAGCAGCAAAAGGCCCGCTGCTGCTGCTCTTTTGCTGCTACTCTGCTGCTCTTTTGCTGCTCTTTTGCTGCCACTCTGCTGCTCTTTTGCTGCTCTTTTGCTGCTACTTTGCTGCTCTTTTTTCTGCCCTGGAGAAAGAGAGGTGATTGCATGCAAAATAAAAAATAAAAAAAAATGAAAAGAAAAGGAAAAGGCCAAAGCGACAAAGATGTGAAGAAGTAAAACGAAAAGAAGATAAAAAGATAAAAAGACAGAAAGACAAAAAGACAGAAAGATAAAAAGACAGAAAGATAAAGAAGTAAAAATAAAAAGAAGCAAAAAGACAGAAATATAAAATAAGCAAACAGACGCAAAGGGAGGCCCCGTACAAAGGAAGAAATAAAGAAAAGGCAATAAATAAAAAGAAATGAAGAGAAGAAAATGAAGAAAAGAAAATAAAGAAATCACAATAAGGAAAGACCAGAAAGAGAAAGATAAAGGAAAGGGGGATGAAGCGAATGAAACAAAGAGGCAAAGAGAGAGAACTAAGAAAGTAAAAAGCAGCAAAATGAAAGCAGCAACAAAATAAAGGAAGCAGCAAAATAAAAGAAGCAGCAAAAGGGAGTCCCTTATGACAACACAAAAAGACAAAAAGACAAAATGAAAGATAAAAAGGGAAGATAGAAAGGAGAAACAGAAGTGGCGGCAAAGACAGGGAAAAAAGACCAAAAGAGGGGCAGCAGCAGCAGCGGATGCAGCAGCAGCGGATGCAGCAGCAGCAGAAGCAGCAGCAGCAGAAGCAGCAGAAGCTGATGCAGCAGCAGCTGATGCAGCAGCAGCAGAAGCAGCAGCAGCAAGAGTAGAGCCACAAGAACCCGCAGCCCGCGCGTGGGACTAAAGAAAAAACGAAAAGAAACAAAAGAGAGATGAAAAAGACCAAAAAATAAAACTAAATAAAACTGAATTAATTTAGATTAAACTAAATTTAATTTAATTTAATTTAATTTAATTTAATTCTCACCAGCGCCTGCAAACGCTCCTTCTCCTTCTGCTTTTGCTCTGCTGTCAGCGGCAAGTCCTCGCACACATCCTGCGGCTCATCCTCGCAGGGCTGCACACACAAACCCTAAACCCTAAACCCTAAACCCTAAACCCTAATCCTAACCCTAAACCCTAATGGCTGAGAGTTGAAGTGGGAGCGAAGTGTCAGCACGAGAAACAGATGAAACGCAGAGGCAGAGACGAATGAGCACTTAGAAACAAAAAATAAATAAAGTTGCACTATTAAACAAGTAAAGAATTATTAAATTAATTTAAGAATTAACGAATTCATTTATTTCATTCTCGAGAAAAAATAAAGTGACAGATGGAGCTGAGGCAGTGCCGGAGCTGCAGCAAGAAGCAGCGCAGCAGCGGGCAGCAGCAGCAGCAGCAGCAGAGAGCCGCAGCAGTCAGACAGCCGCACCGAAACAGGCATGGAGCAGCAAAACAGGCAGCAGCAGCAAAACAAGCAGCAGCGGCAGCACCGCCGCGGGGCAGCAAGAGACGCAGCGGAGAAAGGCGCGAAGAGCAGCACAGGCAAAAAGAGCCCAGGAAAGAAAGGAAGAGCCAAAGCACAGAAAGAGGCGGAGCCAGCTGCTGCTGCTGTTGCTGCTGCTGCTGCTGCTGCTCGGTGGCCAACATTTTGTGCCCCAGGAATGAAAAGTGAAGCCGCAGCCACGCAGGGGAAACAGCAAAGAGCTTTCTGCCCACCTGGACTTGAGTTTGTGTCTCCTCCTCTGCTGCGGGGTCGCAGTTGCAGCACGAAAAGAGCGCCATTTGCTTCCAGTAGCTGCTGCTGCTGCTGCTGCTGCTGCTGCTGCTGCTGCCGGGGACACGGGAGGCCATAGAGGCGCGCTGCCGCCGCTGCTGCTGCTGCTGCTGCTGCTGGTAGTGCCACAGCTGCTGCTGCAGTCGAACGGTCTCAGGGGGCCCCTGCCAGCCACACCGCCCACTGAGGGACCCCCTGGAGGCCCCTACGGCTCCAGTGGGGGCCCTAAGCACCTGAAGTGACCCCAACAGCCCGCAGCAGCAGCAGCAAGTGGGGTCTTTGGCGGTGTCGCTGCGGCGGCTGCCAGGCGCAGCAGCGCAGCAGCAGCAGTACTGGAGGTGCTTAAGAGAGGGCAGTAAAGGCACTAGTGGGCAAATGTAGGTTCCAAATCCTACACATCACTCCAATTTAAGGGTTTAGAAGGGCCTGGGATTAAGGGTTTAGGGTTTACGGTCTAGGGTTTAGGGCTAGGGGTTTGGCGGTCTCAGGTGAACTGACCAGAAGAGAGGCTGCGCCACGTTGGGGTTTCTGTGCAGCTCTCGACAGGGCAGCAGCTAGTCGAATGAGACAGAAATGCAAAAGTAATTATATTTTAAATTAATTAAAGGAACACCAAGACGAAGAAAAGCGAAACGGCAGCAGGTTTCCCTCAGCCCCAAAAGACCCAGCTGCTGTTCAGCTGCTGCTCCAGCTGCTGGTCCGCCTGCAGCAGCAGCTGCTGCTGCTGCTGCAGCTTATTGGCCTCTATGAACCCAAAAGAAGCATTTGGTCAAGACAGGAGGGCTGGGACCTGCTGAGGGGTGGGGTGAGCAACAGCAGCAGAGGGGGCAGGAGAAGGAGCAGCAGCAGGAACAGAAACAAGCTAAAGACCAAAGTAAATAGAACACTGGCAGCAGCAGCAGCAGCAGCAGTTTGCTGTCACAGCAGAGCTAAGGGTCACAGCAGAGCTGTGGGACAGTGGTGACCTTCAGAGCTGCTGTTGCAGCTGCCTTTACCTAACCAGCCAGCCCTAGTGGCTAGTTTTGTCCTATGTGTTTCAATGTCTGCATGCAAGAGTAGAGAAAAAGAGTGTGGGGCCCCACAGAGTAAAGAAGGACAGTGTTTCCCAATGGCTCATGTCCAAAACTGCCTGAGAGTCTGCAGGGGTTTGTAGAGTGCAGCAGCGCCTGAGAAAGGCTAAGGGATGGCTTGCGTGGCAGCGCTGGGGTTCTGGAGGTTTAGGGTTTAGGGTTTAGAACGCGAGAGCTTGCTGCTGGGGGTTTAGAAATCAGCCCTTAGCCACAACTGCTGCTGCCAAATCTGAAGGACTCTGGCCCTGCAGCTAGCCACGCAGCTGGGAAAACTGGGAGCCACTGGGGCCAGTTTGCAAGAAGTTGCAGTCTAGAGTTGGCCTGCTGCGGGCGTGATGGATAAAGAGAGGCACTTTCAGTTCATTTGCGGCAATTCCAATTCAATTCGCCCCACAGCTCGAAGGCCTCAAGTCTAATTTGGCCTCAAGTCTAGCTTGCAAATCCCACAAACTTTCTTGTTAGCGCTTTGCGCTTTCAAGAAAGGCTAACTCTGAGAGTGTTCAAGGTTCCTAGCTCCCTTTATTAGTGCCCAATGGCGTTTGGCTTTTCTCAGTGATAATCACTTCGCTGCTTTCGCCCAAATGAACTGAATCACGCAAAGACAAATCAAAACGGAACAAACGAGCCATACACCTACGTCGGTTATTTGCCACTCCACGCGGAACACACAGCCCAGCAACTCTGCTATTTCTCATTTTTCCTCTTTGTAAAACAGTTCAGAATCCATCAGGCAGTTCGTGTGTCTGGCCTCTACAGCTTTTGCTGGATTACGCAGAAGCCTCAAGGCTGCCCAGAGCTGCACTTGACTGCGCTAACTTGAATTGCTGCAAGCAGCAATTCAAGTTAGCGCAGCGGCCAACAGCTTCAGCACAGCAGCCACGCCTCACCATAGGGGTGTGCAGAAGCAGCAGAAGCTGTGAAATGCAGCTTCCGGGCTTCTTTAAAAGGCTGCCAGCAGGAGCTTTCAGACCGGAGAAATGGACCTTGTTTGCCTTGCATATATTCAAGCATTCGCAGAGCTCTTCTTTCGCCTTAGTAGCCTTAACGGGGCAGTGAATTCGTGGCAAAACTGGGGCCACAACTCATTCGTGGGTCTCAGAGGGGCAGGAGTTTGGCTTCTGCAATGACCTGAAACTTAAGAGGCCAAATATAGCGAAGACGCCACTTATTGCCTTTTGATAAGTAGGCACAGACCTGCGCTAGGCAGATGTGGTGCAGCTCTATCTGTGTGGCGACTTCTGCAGAGCTGCAGACATTTTGTTTCTTCTGAGCACTCTCTACAGCAAAGGAAAAACTGCATTCGCACAGCAGCTTTTTAGCCAAAAGCGGGTCGCTGGCTCTGCCTGAAAGGCTTCTTTTTGGACCTCTTCTGGCGACTCCGCCTCGTCCTAGCAGAAGGTTTCACCAGATGATAATATCCTTAAGCTGGAAGTTTGGGTTTCGCGCTGCTGAATCACCTGCGCTGCCACAGCCAGTAGCTCACGCTGCTGCAGCACAGCAAAGCCGTCAGGACTTCGTTGCAGGGGAGCACCATAGACTGTTATCTGCAGCTGTAAGAGTCCTTCTGCTCTAGGGAAAGAAGACATGCAGGTTTAACGAGACACAAGACTCCAGCCAATTCATGTTGTGTTCTAATTTCCTGTTCACAGGCTAAGCAGCAACTTTCGCAACGATTGAGCTGTTTTAGCAGCACTCTTTCTTGCCTCGTTGTTGCTGCAGAATCGATGCCCTCGCACTCTTCATGCAGAAAACTGCAATTAGGAATAAACTTCGCTGGCCAGCAGCCATGAAGGCAGTAACCTGCTGCACTTGCAGCAGGTTACTGCCTTCATATAAAAAGCCCGCGCTGACCCCAGGATGCTCCCCCTCACTACTATTGCATTTGCAATCTGGCTGCTCCTGCAGCCGTCCATAATCTTACCGTAATACGCCGAAATTTGTTTGTTTGTCGGGGCTTATATCTTGCTGGCCTGTGTATGCTGTTACTTTGGCTTCGCTGATCGAACTGTTTCCTGCACTGAAAGCAACGATCCCCTCCTCAAAAAATGCACTAGAAGAGCAACAGTATATTGGTGCTGCTATTTGGTGCCATTGTTGCTTCCACAAAGACTGGCTGGTGCTGCTGCAAGCGCACAGCGGCAGCGTTCCTTGGCATAGTGCAGTAGTGCCTGTCAGCGGAGCAGGTGCCGTTCAGTTTCGCTGCCCACTGGTATCACAGTTAACTTCCATAAGCTTCTATTTGCACACTATAAGCTCCTACTTGCACTTTTTCATTTCTCCAAATCTTTTTCCCGCTGTATTCTTAAGGTGCCACAGTGCGGATGCAGCTTGCCAGCCATCCGCTTACAAGATCTCAGCTGCTCAGTTGCTGTACCATATGGAGGATTACAAAAGATAAAATGAAAAGGACGTTGAGCCTCTAAAATGGCTTTTGAAAATTGCAAGTCGTTCGAAGACAAACCACCTTCTGCTCGAAGGCAGATGCCTCAAATCAAAAATGCAAAACGTCTAATGGCGGCAGCAAAAAAAGCAAATCTTTACCGCATGCTGCCCTCCGTCAAACGGGATGCAGGCGAAGAAAAACTAACATAAATGGCCCCCGCACAACTTCTCAGACTTGCAACCTGAATTGTTGCAATTCTGTTGAACGTGGGTACAGCCATGTCGAAAACGGAATCAGCCCAAGCACTCATAATCGCTTCAAATGTGCTTCTAAGCGGAAGCTGTATATTCAAAACTTGCCACCCGCGACGACCACAACACAACAAAACTCCTAATGTTTTAAAAATTCTTAAAATCCACTTCAAAGTAGTTCTGTGTGTCACGGGTTCGGCCGAACACCCGGAATGACAAATGACCGAGCGGAAAACAAAACATCTATTGTAGCTGCTTCGACTACTGTTGCTGCTGCTGAGCGGCAACGCGCGTGCACCGAAATGCAGCAAAAGCCATCCAAACTGTAACTGTGCTGCTGCACCAAAAGCATCAGCAAAAGCAGCAGCAAGAACAGCAGCAGCCCGAGGAGCCGGAGCAAGAGTCTCAGCCTCCCCGCAATGTCTAATTACTGGGCTTTTCGCCCAGGGCCCCGAAACACAAACTGCATGCAGTGAGGCCCTCTACGCTTAGCTACTTGGGTTCGGAATTCACCCTCACAAGGGGAACAGGCTTCGGCTTTGGCTTTGCCTTGCGGGCTGTGGCGCCCTTGGCCACCTCCTGCAGCAGCACAAACAGCCCAACTAAAAGCCCTGCCCGCTGCAGAGGGTTTCTACTTTTCAACTAAAAGACACAAGACAAGCGGGGCCCCTCTGGGGGCGTCCAGAAGCTCGACAGCTCGCCCAAATGGGGCTGAAAAGCCCCAAGAGTTGCGCCTCTTTTCTGCAACTTACCTCCAGTATTGTCTGGACAGCCTCTTTGTCTATTTCCTCTGTTATCTGCACAAGCTGGCTTCGCCAGCGACTCAAGTAAGTCCTCTCGGCCTCCAAACGCGCAGCCTCCACCCCCACAATATTCCGCACCACAGCTGCATCTTGCTTGGCCTGGGCAATGGCCGCGAGGGCCACGCGAGTTCGCTGGTCAGATACTGAAGTCGCAACACACGCAGCAGCAACGGCCGCCGCAGCAGCAGCAGCACAAACTGCAGCAGCGCCACAAACAGCAGCACCACCACAAACAGCAGCAGCAGCAGCGACCGCCCGAGCAGCAACAGCCAAAGAAACAGTAGCCAAAGCAGCAACAGCAAAAGCAACAGCAGCCAAAGAAGCAGCAGCCAAACCAGCAGCAGCCAGCAAAAGCAGCAAAAGCAGGGCGCAGTCTTTGGCTGCAGGTGGCAGCTGCGGTGGGGGCTTTGTCTCACAGTCCTCGATGATCCCGGGAAACAAAAGACCCTCTGTGTCTGAGCCACTAGAGGTGAAGACCATGAGGCGGGCGAGCGCCTCTGAGAGCCTTCTGCGGCATATGCTGGAGAGCAAGAAGAGCATCAGCCGCGCCGCCTTTTCTTTGTTTTTTGAATTCAAAAGGCCGGCCTTTTGCGAGGCTTCTTGGCGAGTCTTGGCGAGCTCCTCCTCCATCTTTGTGCGCCCGCACGCGGCCAGCAGCTGCATCAAAGAACTCCCCAGCTGCCGCAGCCGCCAGCGACACACAATGCTGCGAAAAGCACAAACAAATAAATGCATGCGCAGCGCAGCGCCTACACAGCAGCAGACTCCGCGCTCGTCAGCGCCAGCTGTCTGTACACTGGAAAGTGTGCAGCACAGAGTTGCGCATACGCCGCGCGCCCGCGCGGCGCTGGAAAGCAGTTTGGGGCTTTTTCAGTTCAGGAGTTTGCGGATAAATTGCATGCATGCATGCGGTAGTCACAGAAGAATAGTTGAACTCGAAATAAAATGCAATTACCTCTCGATTTTGGCAATGCCTCTGCCGAATTTGATGGCCATTCCCGACGCCTCCTGCAGCTTCCTCTGCTGCATCTCCGCCATTTTCCGAATCAGTGTCTGGTGCTCCTCCGCCTCTTTCTTCAACTCCAACTCCAGCTGCAAAGCCTTATCCCTCAGCGCCTCGCTTTCGTCCGCCAGCCGCCCGATTTCCTCGTAGGCCACAAAGGGGGCCCCCCGAAAGATGAAGTGGTGGGGCCCCCACCGCACCTCCTTCGCGAGCTGCTCATCAGTCTTCGCCAGCGCTGCAAGCGAAGCGCAGCAGCAAAAGAAAGGGGGCCCTCTTCAACTGCTGCAGTCTGCTGCAGCTGTGTCGACAAAGTGCGAGGCCCTTGGCACCTCTCTTTGCGTCAATATGAACAGTGCGCAGCAGCAGCAGCAGCAACAGCAGCAGCAGCAGCAGCAAAGCCAAGTATGCGGCAGCGACAGGCAGCAGACACCCCGGGCCGCCCACTGTCTGCAGGAAGACAGCAAGCAGCAAGAAGAAGCAAAAGCAGAAGCAGCAGAGTGCCACAAAAGGCCCCGAGCAGCAGCAGCAGCAGCAGCAGCTCGCACTTACTGGGGTAAACCAGCTTGGGGGGAGAAGGAGCAGAGTCCTCTTTTTGCTGCTTCAGAGGCTCCGGCTTTGGAGGGGCAGCAGCTTGCTTCGGCGGGGGGGACAGAAGGGCTGGGGAAGGAACACTGAGGGCCCCCTTGGGGGCCTCAGCCTGCTGCTG